TCGCCCAGGCTGGAGTCCAGTGGCACCACCCCAGCTCACTGCAACCTCTGCCTCCTGGGTTCAAGTGATTCTCATGCCTCAGCCTCCCAAGTAGCTAGGACTACAGGTGCTATGTGACTATTAATATATCAGAATTTTTCAGAGTCCCTCTACATAGAAAAGTTTTTTTAGAAAGCCTCTCGTTTATACCATCTTGTGTTACCACCTCAGACAGTTGCACAGTTAAACAATTGTCACTGATTATTTTTCATGAATATCCTGGGGATATTCTCACTAAGCAGCTCCAACTCCAGCTATCTTTTCTCACCAACCAGCTCCAACTTCAACTCAGGACAAATAAAGACAAATCATGTGAATGAGACTTTTCTCAAGAAATTTCATGTAAGTCATGCAATGCTCTAGGGGTTAGGTTTCTAGGGAGCTCAAAGCCTGTTTCCCTCTCTGGTGGCTGATAGGATACAGTTTTTAATAGACACCATGTTTCTAAAACTTGTTTTTTAAAGACCATGGAACTGGGAAAAAGGATATGGAAATAGCGTAAGTTAAAAATGCCACAAAGCTTGTTGTTCTTACAGAGATTCAGACATTTTTCCTTAATAAGTACTCATAGAATTGTTGCAAGCATTTGGTTGATTTTCAGAGTTTTGAAAAAGTTGATTTTAATAATTTTTTCCAGTGTTCTCATTGCTTTTATAGAGAAGCAGGTTTTTAGATATTCTTACTCCAATCTTCAAGTTCCTTTAGAACTTGAACAAAAGTTATCATACCATTTCTTCTGATCTCTAATTAGGAAGATGATGGGGAGAATGGACTGAGAATACCCTGTCTAGGAGGAGTGCTACCTATTTTTAAAAATATAAAAATTTCCGTAAGTTTCTATGTAGCCTCTACCAGGCTGCAGACAGCTTAGTAATGAACCCTGTTTTTTATGTATTCTTTATGCTAGCAGACAAGCCTTTAGAGGCAAGGCCTGAAAGAAAGCAGATGAACCAAAGTGAAAAAATGACCTCACTCTGCACAGCCATGTTCCTGTATTCCCAGGATGGCAAGCATCTGTGCAGGTTACACTTTGAGGGAAAAAAAAAAAAATCTTTCTTAAAAACTATTTATCTGAGAATTAATCTTTAATTTATAAAGGATGCATGCATGTGTATGGGTGTGTGTATTTTTGTGTGTTTCTGTGTCACACATTAATTTAGATTGTACTCAAATGTATGGACAAGATGCAGCTTCTTTACTTTGTTTAAAACAGGCCTGATCTTTCTCAGAAGATTTATACCTGAGTATAATGAGGAAATAAAATAAAACAATGATTTTGGGCAACCTGCCCTAAAATTTTTTAGGACTCAATAGTTTAAATAGACTATTTAGGATTACACTGAACTGTTTACTCAGCATTCCATATTTATCTTCTCTGCTAACAGCTACAGTTAGGGAAAGGACATTTTTCATTCCTTGCCTGGGTGACATTCTCTGAAATATGCCTGATCTTACTTCCATCTCTGGCCTTTCCTGACTGATTTGAGTAGCAGCAGCAATCTATATTTTTGCACTCTATCAGGGAATGCCAGATGACTCAACTTCCCCTTTTCTCTTTTGCCTTTTTGTCTTATTGGGTACTTATTTCAGACTCTCTAATCCACATATCTGTCATGACATAACCAAGCACTCCAGCACTGTATACCCCATGGGAGGCAAGCTGGTTCTCAATGGAATATTCACATAACAGCATAGATTAAGGCTCAGAAATACAACAGAGACCCTATCTCTGTCTGACTATGCTGTTCTACTAGATTAATAATTTGATACTCTTCCTATACTGGGTTGGGGTCACCCACTTTGTTAAGAGGTTCTGCAGAGCAATCTTCTTCTAGAGTTTCTAAAAGTAAATATATCAAGAATCTCTCTGTTCTCTATTTTCATCAAATTATCCAGGATGCCTTCTTTTCTCCCTTTCACTAGGCATGATCAGCAGGGGCCAAATGAATCTAGAACATCTTATTTCCTTCAAATATGACTGGCTTTGAGTCCTATTTTCTCCAAGCATATTATTTTAAATGCCAGAAATTTTTTATATCTCTCTGTATTGCAACTACCACAATCCTAATCCCACCTTCTACCCTGGATGTTTGATATTTAAGCCTGACAGAAGAGAAGGTCAGGTATGTTGAAAAACAAAAGAGAAAAGCATTTTACTTTTTTCTCTTTTTTAAAAATCAGTAATGGATATGGTTTGACTCTGTGTACCTATCAAAATCTCTTCTTGAATTGTAATCCCCATATGCCCAAGGAGGGACCTGGTGGGAGATGATTGGATTATGGAGGTGGATCCTCCATGCTGTTCTTATGATGAGTTCTCATGAGATCTGATGGTTTAAAAGTGGCATTTCCCCCTTTACTCTCACTCTTCTGCCACCATATGAAGAAAGTCCTTGCTTCCGTCTTCCCTTCCACCATGATGATAAATTTCCTGAGGACTCCCCAGCCATATTGAACTCTGAGTCAATTAAATGTTTTTTCTTCGTAAATTACCTAGTCTTAGGTAGTTCTTTATAGTATGTGAAAATAAACTACAATAAAATACAATAATATTACACACATCTATAATATGATCCAGAGAGACCAAAAGATGCTTTGACTGATGAAGCCAAACATATTGCGTTATGGTAAATATTTGATATAACCACCTTCATCCAAAAGCAGAAATAAATAATTTGAAGTCCCTCGTTTTAAATTGTAGTGCCAATTTCGCATTTCATGAGTCCATTAAAACTTGATCTAATTCATACAGGCTCTCCCTGTATTCACTAATGTATTTTATTGTGTGCTACGCATCATGCATTATACTTCACAACTCAATATACAAACTGCCTGAACTCAAAAATATGTTGGTAACATCAGTGTTTCAGCCTCCTGAGGAAGGGTCATTTTTCATTGCAATTTAACCCTATTTTATGGGCTTATATAACTTTCCTAATAAGATTATGAAATTTCTGAGAACAGAGGACAAATCTCCTAACTTGTATATTTTCAATGATGCCTATGATTAGGTAGAGGATAATGTTGAGGAGCATAAACCACATACTGAATAATCTATTAATACTTAGAATCTTTGAGTTCCCATAGATTCCAGTGTAGGATTCACATACTTCCTGTTTTTTTTTTTTTTTTTCTTTTTCACTGTCTTCTGTGTTTTACCCACACAACAAGATAAGGCATTTTATTCACATAAGCCTTACATTTGGCAACTGTAGACTAACATTTATAAATTGTGATCATCCTCTGGGCACAGATTATAGAATTTACTGTGTTGATATGCCAGCAAAATAAACTCTCCATTATTACTGAAAATTTTTAGGCAAGCATACCTAATTTGGCAGAATCTTCCTCTTGTTGGCTTTTGGAATTCAAGGTTATGTAGGTGTATATATATATTTATCTTAGATTTCTCATATTTAAAAGGACACTTTGAAAAAGCTTGACAAAATCAGAGGACCCCTAATCTTGATCATCAAAGTTTACCTCTACCATTATTCTTTCATTAAACATACCAGTATTTAACTCTCCCTGATTTTCTTTGTGGTATTTTTTCACCAATGAAAAAGAAAATTCTTCTGCTACATCTTTCTTGGGCTCAGTAATCCACTAAAGAAAAATGATCTAGATAAAAGTAAACAAAGAATGTTATTGGACCTCTTACAAGAAGTAACATAAATATCTTCCAAATTAAATTTGGAAGCCACACATGCTTTCTTGGAAATTTCAGGAAAAGAACTCTCCAGTTCTTTCTCTGAATTAACTTCTAGCATATTCAGTGGAACTTTCTCATGTCCTCATCCCTGTTTCCACTAGCTCCGGGTGAAGTATAACAACAGTGCAAAAACTTTGAATATGGCTATAGAACACCTCAATTAGAATCTTAGGCCATATTACAGAAAATTCTAACTAATACCTTTTAAATGGTCAGCAAAGGGTGTGTATTTCAAGAATAAACCTAAATAAACTAGTGAGAAGCCAAAGTCAATAACTGGGGGACTGAAGCCAAACTAATTGCATCAAGTACTAGGTCTGTAAAAAAGAAAAAAACAATGATGACATATCATTAAGAAATTGTCTGGGAAACTAGCAACTCCATTTGCAAATTGAATAACAAGACTGTATAAGGAAATGGAAAAAAAAAAAAAACTATATGAAGTTGATTCAATTAGCCCTTTCAATAATTTCTTGACCCAGAACATACAGCATAACACTTTCCTATCAATCAGTCACATCTGCCTGTTTGTTGCCATGCCTTTCTCCTTTTTACTGGGAAGTTTAAATCATCACAGGAGATGTTGAACCAGGTATCAACACTTGAAGTACTCAGACCATTAATAAGATTTTCAATTTTCCTTTCAATTTCATCTTTTTCCACATTATGCCCATGAATAATTGAAAAAAAACTTTTATAAATTACAAATCCACATGAAACCTCTGTGTACAATAGTCATTTAATTAGTCAACACTTTCTGCTGTTGTTATCATTAATAGAGTAATTGGTGTTTCTACTGCATGCTCTGCACTCCGGTGTACCCTGACAGGAAGTCAGAACTGCTGTTCTTTCATGGGAAATAACTAGACATCTGGGCCCTGTCTTCAAACAAGAGAAGCATAGGAAGGGAATTTAAAATGTTGTCTTTATTATTTTGGCAGTTTTCAAAGAGGCTGGCTCATATTGAAATTCTTGAGTTTTCAGGGGGTAATTCTGTGCTATTTACACCATGCCACTCGATCTGCTCTTCCACTTATGCAATGTAAAGAACCAGATCCTTTTTCATAGAGCCTGACTTACACCACTGTCTTCATTTTTGCCTAGGAAGGAATTCCAGTGACTTCAACACACAGGCTCAACAACTTTCAGTGCTCCACTAAACCTTGCCAGGGCAGGTTAATTTTTAGGAGGCTCCATATACCCTGAAAGGTAGGGACTGCCACGGAGCTAGCTCACCATGTGCCCACAGTCTTTGTATAAAGCCCAAAACACCTGCCTTACTTGCTAAATGGACATTCAGCTGTTCTTTGGGAACCTGAGCTTCGGTATGATTGACAAAACTCCATACCTTGTAACTCATTTTTATCAGCTCTCATTCCCAAGAGGTTAGACTCTGTACTTCATACGGAGAACTAGTTATAGCCCAGTTACTAAGCTCAGCATATCACCTCAGCCATGAGCATTGCTATCTATTCTTTCTAATAATTCCTCACAATAAACTCTGGCATGCTTATCTAATCCAATGCAAGCTGACCCTAATCCAATGCAAATCTTGAAGACTGACTGTGCATAGCTGGCCATCCCAATGTGTCCCTGGGCATGCTATGCTGGGCCTCAGTCCACTTACTTTCCTTGAGGACCTGATATGAAGTCCCTGTGTTCCACAAATCCAAGCTCGTCTTCTATTGTGATTGGCATCACAAATAGATTGAATTTAATTCCTTGATCAAATTTCTCCCATGGCCTTCACATGGTATTTTATGGCATCTCAAATAAATAGGCACATAGCAATATATAAACACATTACCTTGAAATTTAACATAGGCTCTCCCCAAATGCATTATACTTTCTAGATATGAGTCACTCATTCGCTGAATAATAGTTTTCTAAGCCCTCTAACAGGAAAACAAGCATTGAAAAAGTCAAGAACTATATCTTCCAGTATTAGAGTTTTCAAAAATGTATGTAAGAAATTGACGTTTTAAGAAGAGAAATTAGACATTTAGTTTTATGAGCTTCAGAGTTGGCTACTTGAAGCTTTGGTTATGCAGATTGCTTGGGTGACTGCTAACATGTTGATGGCAGAATTTAGAAAGACTAAATCTAACTGAGCCTCCCCCGCTGTTTCCCCATGCAACTACAATATACTCTGCATGTATTTCTAGCACCAGGCAATCTACATTCTGGAAAAACCAGATCACATAGGTCTCCCCAAATGTTTTACCAATGTCTTCAGGCTGCATCCTCTGCCTGGAATGTCCTTTACACCAATTTATACCTAGGCTATTTTTTATCCTGGCACTTGTTTTTCTTTGCTACCATCACCTCATAGAGGCTCATCTGCAAATCCAGATCCTCAAGCTTGGTAAAACCCAGCACCATCACCTGGCTATTTCTTTTGTGTAAAGCATCTTACAGTACACTCTATAGACAAAGCAATTGACAGAAGATGCCTTGAACCTGGGTGGGTGTTGATTATGGTTTTGAAACAGCTGATATGAGAAGCTGGTTGGTTACTTTCTTCCATCTTCACCTACTTAAGCATTCAAGTTAGCAATGGATAGCTTAGACTAATGCATATGTCTTGTTATCAATCCTTAAGAAATATTTAATATTCAAAAATGAATAAATGTACGTTTATCCAAAGACACCTATAATGTTTATTAATATTTGTAAAATAAACGAAAATATACTCTGTCACAGACAAGTGGTCTATGAACAGAATCAAGTCTGTACTAGATGGTAAAGAAAGAAAATATCCTATTTCTCTTTTTCAGTCTCTCAATTTTCCATTAAACTGCCTTCCCCAAGCTCTGATCTCTCTCTGATTTCTCTCATCTCCAAATCAGGCATCTAGTCCCCCATTATCCCTACTGAAAATGGCAGAATTGTTTTCCATGTACTCGGTCTTATGACCTTGGGAATTGGTCTTCAGTGCCAATTACTATGACAATTATTTCAATATTCATCTCGTGCTGTCAGGAAAAAAAACCAGGAAAGCACTCTCTTCTCCTAGGATCACTATTTCCTTTCAGATATTAAATGAATGTGATTTTTAGCAGTTTTTAAGAAAATACCTCAATCTTATTTTTTATTCTTAACATTTACCTTCTGTATTATTTAGCTCAGTTCAGTAATAAAATCATATTTAAATGCCTTTTTCTTTTGTATTTAAACAACTTTAGACAGTTCAAAAAGTCCTTATTGTAGAGTCATAGTTTTGATATTTCTTACATGGCTTTTGTTGTATTTTGTTTGATCGGACCTAGTTCTCTGTCACCAAAGGGCACTTACTAATTAAGTCTCCTGCTTTAACACCTCCCATATTTGAGTATCTTTAAAAATCTCTATTTTATATCATCAAAATTGAGCCATCATTTGTTCAATGTGAACTACTCTTTACTGTTCCTTCTAAGACTGCTCTGTACCTTAATTGGGAGGGAGGCTTCTTTATAATCTCCCACTGATTTGCTTTGGCTTTTTTTTAGCACTGTCAACTCTACTAACATGAGAACATTAATTAAATGTGGTTGGTGACAAGAGGCTTTGTGGGGATTCTGTAAAATTCATATGTCCTATGTCAATGATTGACAAGTGAGAGTACATTAGAATCACTGAGCAAAACTCAGTTTGCTGGGCCCTAGTCCCATACTTCTGATTTGGTACGCCTGAATTTGCTCTAAAAAACTGTATTACTGAAAAATTCCAAGCACATGCAACTGGTCTTGGAACCATACTTTGAAAATAAATTTTCAGACTGCAGTCTCAGTATACTCTAATTTTAATTACTTAATCCAACAGGCAATCAATATCCCAAAGAGTGCAGATGATTGGAAAAAAAAAATACTATTGAAAGGGCTTAGTGGCTCATGCCTATAATCCCAGCACCACTAAGGCAGGTGGATTGCCTGAGCCCAGGAGTTTGAGACCAGCCTGGGCAACACAGTAAGACCGTTTCTGCCAAAAATTAAAAGAAAAAAAAATATCCAAGTGTGGTGGCACAAGTCTGTAATCTACTAGTACTCAAGCTAGTCAGGAAGCTGAGGTGGGAGGATTACTTGAGTTCAAAAGGTTGAGCCTTCAGTGAATCAAGATTGAACCACTGTACTGCAGTCTGGGCAACATAGCAATACCCCGACTCTATGGGAAAAAAAAAAAAAAAAAAAAGTGCTATCACTTCCTTCATGATTCTAAGCAATGTTTGTTTACTAGAATTATCTGGAGAGCTTAAACCTCTGGAATCCCCAATCAAATCAGAATTTCTGGGGTTGAATCTCAGGCATTAGAAGTTTCTAAAATGTCACAGGGCTATTCCAATGTGTGGTCAGTGCTGAGAACCACTGCCTTACTTTAAGGAGTATTTTCCACAGGTAAGTCAAATCAATAAGCTTTGAAGTTGAGGGACAAGTTAACGTTTGTCTTGACAACTTATACTATGTGATTTATCAATAGAAAAAGTAGACACAAGCATATTTTTCCATACATGTTTTTTAATCACTGGGAAAATAAATCCATCACTTTTCTGTGAATTCGTGCACATTGAGAAGTGGAATTGTACTATCAGAATCATCTTAGAATCAGGAACCTCAATGGCCTTTTCTTCCCCAGCCTTTCTCCTAATTTAGTACACCAATTATAAAACATCTCTGACAGATGACAGTACAGACTGGGCTTGAATACCTTGAATTGAGGGCTCTCACTTTTTTACTAGACAGCCTGTTACATGGCTGGAAGCTATAGTTGATAAATTCTGCCCTAGATGGAATCCCAAATATATTTACATGCAAGTGTTTTATTTTAAATTAAGTCCTAACATCATTTGTGGAAAAATTTATTATTTCTTCTACATCATCTGTCTCCAACCTTTTTGGCACCAGGGACCATTTTCATGGAAGACAATTTTTCCATGGATGGTGGTGGGAATGGTTTCAGGATGAAACTGTGTCGCCTCAGGTCAGGGATTTGTTAGATTCTCACAAGGAGCACACAACCTAGATCCCTCATATGCACAGTTCACCATAGGGTCCTACAAGAATTTAATGCTGCAGCTGATCTGATAGGAGGTGGAACTCAGTTGGTCATGCTTGCTGACCCACTGTTCACCTCCTGCTGTGCGGCCCGATTCTAGGCCATGAATCAGTACAGGTCCATTGACTGGGGTTTGGGGACCCCTGTTGTATATGATAGTGATTCAATTCTGATTTCTTAGATAATAGTGGCTCAGAGACTACTTGCCTCACTACTTCACTAAGTATTGGAAATACTGTTTCTCTTTATTTGGTCTTGCCTTTATCATCTCGTCATAAATTTTATTGTAGTTGCTGCCCCAACATTCATTTTTTGGCTTGATATAAAAGTTTTTTGAGCCCCAGTTGTACCCTGTCCCCTTTGGTCTAGTTAAAACTTTTCATCCCTTTCTGGTTGCCTGGAAGATAGCCCATTTGTCCCTCATCCCACACACCGAAAACCCAACACAGCTCACATCTGTTGACCACAATAAAACTGTATAATTAACAACAGAATCATGTAAATAAGTTTTCCTCTTTGCATGTGTTTTCTTTAAACTAGTGAATCCACAAGTCATGGGGAAAAGCTTAAAGGATGCCCTTGGTCCTTAATAAAGGTAAAGTCCCACATATCACATTTCCTTTCTCTACTTGCTCTCTGTTGGTTGAGTTCCCTGCCACCTCCAGACTTCTTATTGGCCCTCATGGGCACCCCTCTTCTCTCTGGGGTCTGTAATAAATTTCTTCTGTTTTATTTGCTTTAGTTTTATCTTCTCATTGTGTCTCACATGGCAAACACACACTAACCTAACTTGCCCCCTGAACACTGGTATCCTAGAGAGTGGCTACTTGTCTTGTTTTATGGCCACTCATAAAGACATCAAAATCAAATTAAAGAAAAATCACAGCACATCTGGTTCAGATTTATATATTAATGAAGCTTGGATAATTAGAACTCTTCTTAATAATAAAATCAGCTGACTTATGTTTTGATGCTGTTGTACCTTCCCTTTTTTTTTTTTGAGACAGTCTCCTCCTGTGAGACAGTCTTTTTTCTTTTTCTTTCTTTTTTTTTTTTTTTTTTGATACAGAGTCTCTTGTTGTACCTTCTCTCTTTTTTTGAGACAGAGTCTTCCTCCTGTGTTCAAACAATTCTCCTGCCTCAGCCTTCTGAGTAGCTGGGACTACAGGTGCATGCCACCACACCCAGGTAATTTCTTTATTTTTTGTAGAGATGAGGTTTCACTATGTTGGCTAAGCTGGTCTTGAACTCCTGACCTCACTGTTTGCCCATCTCAGGCTCCCAAAGTACGGGGATTATAGCGTGAGCCACCGTGCCTGGCCTATATCTTCTATAGTTCTTTCTAGGATTGAATTTTGTTGCCTAGTAATTATAAAGAAACATTCTAAAAAAGTATGAAATGCTTTCTAAACAAGGACTCATCTTTAAAATGCCCCTACTGAAGATCCTATAATAGGAAAATTTGGGGCAAGAAAACAGCCAATAGGATAGGTCAAGAAGCAAGAACATGTGACTGTATTTCATGTGAATGGTTTCCTATAAAGTTGTTCAATATGGGGGCCCTGCTCAGATGGAAAACAAACAGAAAAACCTTCTTTGATAACAACATTCAGAATAGAAGTTTTGGCTTGAATCTTAGGAAATTCACATTTAGCAGTTTTGTCAATATACCTCTTAATAGCTTTACAGTACACAAACATTTCAAGTCCTTAACAGCTTAATTTCCTGCAAAAGACTGAATATTTCACTTTTCGAGGCTAACTTTCTCATCAATAGAAACACCTCTGTTATGATCAGCATTTTGATGTGGACTGCAGAGCCATCAATTATTGACTTGTGGTCTATGTTCTGTCTGTGATGAACTACATCATGCATTGGGCCACTCTTGCAACAACCAACTCATGTGGGATATTACTGTTCAGTTAGTGTTTGTAAAGCATCTCTAAGATTATGTCTTTGTAACTGCTATAGCTCTTATTCATCACCTAAACTCTCTTAACTCTGTTGCATTCATCAGCAACACACAGTTTAGCACTTCATATTTTCCAGTATTTCCTTGTCTGGTATGATATTATATCTCAAAAACTACATGTTAAACTATGTTTTAAACATTCTGTAGCAGTCATTATCATTTACATAGTCATGTAAAAGCATGACACGATGTGGATTAAAGTGTGTGCTTGTGTGTGTTTGTGTATATATGTATACACATATATTTTTTTTCCAGCTATAACTTGCTGAATAATTAAACACATTTTATATTTCATGATACAAAAATAAAACCACCAGTGATTTATTATGAATAAAGTAGCACTTGGACACACAACTAATCCATACTGAATCTGTTTAATCCAGATATTCTTTGTGCCTCTAGATAACCAAATGTCATGGATGCATACTATTGAGGAAAAACTTAGAGGCCAAGAAATAAGAAAGTAAACACAATCACTCAAACTCATTATTCCTCAGCCTGGGCCAACTAGCTGTACATGTTTTGTATGCCTCATGGCCAAAGATGCAGAAGGGTAGAAGCTGCCTTAAATCTTAGGAAATTCCTCGGCCAGTATGCTGGACTTGCAAGTGAAAGTACTCTGAGGGAAACAACACTTCTATCATTACTTTACAAAATATTTATACATCACCTTAAGAGTGGCTATGTAACACTTAGCTTCTCTAAGTAACACAGCTTACTTCAAATGATCTGGAGACACAGGAACCATGGAAGGGAGTGTATACAAAGGCCATGGGAACATCCTATATGTCAGGGTTGTGGACATTAGCCAATGGCTTTGCCCCACAGACTCACAGTTTCACCCTTTGCCAGGCTGCCAGACTGGGGAGGAATGTGAACATCCAGGGCGGCCATCCCCAATTGTCCTTTATCATCGTGCTTTAAAAAACAATTCCTCAGCCGGGCGCGGTGGCTAACATCTGTAATGCCAGCACTTTGGGAGGCTGAGGCAGGTGGATCACGAGGTCAAGAGATTAAGACCATGCTGAAACCCCATCTCTACTAAAAAATACAAAAATTAGCTGGGCATGGTGGTGCGCGCCTGTAGTCCCAGCTACTCGGAAGGCTGAGGCAGGAGAATCGCTTGAACCCAGGAGGAGGAGGTTGCAGTCAGCTGATATCGCGCCACTGCACCCCAGCCTGGCGCCTGGCAACACAGTGAGACTGTCTCAAAATAATAATAATAATAATAATAATAATTCCTCTATATGTGAATTTTTATATTAAGTAAAAAACAAAAATCAAAAAGAATTTCTGGACTTTTTTCTTTTAGTGTAACACGTTAATTACAAGTGACAGGAAACCCTCTCAAACTGGGTAGGCATTAAAGAAAACTGGCTGATATGGCTTAAAAGTCCAGAAACAAGACTAAATTCAGGTATGTCTTGCTTGTTGCACAAAGGTGGTCAGGACCCAATTTTTCTCTCTCTTTATCCATTGAAGGTTCATCTAAACTGTAGACCTGTGCAGATTCAGACACCACCTCATGATGTCAAAATTGCTGCTAGAGGAAAAAGGTCTTCTATCTACAGTTGAATAGAAGTCCTAGTGCTCTCATTGTCTGGATTTGCATCCTGTGCCCAACACTGAATCAATTGCTGTAGTCCATAGAATCCTAAACCTTCTCTGTTCACAGCAATCTGGTGTCTCAATAGTTTTTTTCATGATATCCTAAGTTAAAATAAACAAACAACAGTTCTGTTTATTAAGTAATTAGGTCCAAACAACTTGATAAACTATTCAGACCCTAACAATACAGTGGCTGCTTGAATATATATTTTTAAAATGCACTTTTATTCTTAAATAAGCATAATTACC